CTGTTGACCATTGTAAGACTTGTAACACATCAATATATATACTCATGAAGGGTTTGGGGATTGTGGTTCCCCTTTTGATTATATTTTATCTTTGGTATAGTGTTTTTAATCAATATTAAATTATACTGTATTTGTACTAAGGTCATTTAAATCCGCCCCTTCAAGCCAGGAGAAATTTATTTACATGTGTTCAAGACTATTATTCCCTTTAGGAATAATACATACAACCACCATGTAAATATCCATGTGGCACGTCGACGTGCACACACGGAGAGTTTTGAAATAAAACTTCAAGTCCTTTGGTCAAATTTAGACTGAGATTGTTGTTGAGCACCCTTTGTGCTTTGTGATTTGTTCAAAGGATTTGCAGAATCCTTTGTTGTCAGCAGGGGTCAACTGACTTTCAACCTCCCAGGTGATAAGGGGAAGATGTGCTTGTTGTGGCACCTCTTTGATGGGTTGTTACAGGGTCTAAGGAAATTCTTTTGTGTGTGCACGTCGACGTGCTACAAGAATATTTACATGGTGAACAGTATTGCTAGCAATTGATATTGTTTGTGAACTTTTTGCGCTTAAAAACTGGAATAATACTTAAAAGTATTGATAACTTTTCTCTGGTGCCTTTTATTTTTTTCTCTGTTATCACAACGTGGTCAGCAAGTGCCCTTGTGCAGGTTTCTTTGAATAAGGCACTCTTTAGGCAAATTCTACTATTCATACATTAGTAGATTATCCCTTCTTAGGTGTTGTAAAGCTCTTTTTGAGCTTTAAATACTACAATGTTCCAAGGGCTTGGATCTTGCCCCACCCAATGTGTATGTGAGTTGTATTTCACTCTTTACACAGTCCAGTGGCAATCATCTGAGCAGGTTATAAGAAGCACCCAGAGTATTAGTCATAAATATCAAAGATTTGTTAAGACTTCCTTTGTGTTGGTCATTCTGTTGTTGCTCAGTCCTTGCTGTAGCATTTTTGTTCAGCTTTTAGCAATGTGGGGGTCATTTGCCCATCATACCACCAAAGTTCCAATGTCATCAGATGACATCATGAATCTGTATACACCTGCTCCTGTATGAAAAGATCACAAATATAAAGTTTATTAATATCATGTAAATTGAGTGGGTTATTGAGGTTTGAAGAAAGCATGGATAAAAAATACTATTTTTATGCTATACTTAAGACTTGGATCTTGAACATCTTCAATCTGTATCAACATACATAGACATTACACTTGATCATATTTTCCACAATATGTTTCTCTGCATTTTTGTCCCCTACAG